CAAATATACACTTATTATAAGAAAGGATCGGCCTATTTGAATTTTAGTAAAAGCAATTCGTGTCATGTTAAATTTAGAAAAACCAGCATTATATATAAGTACAAAATAAAACAAAACTTACAATGTTTTGAGCAAGATCAATCGCGCGAGAATTGCGTTCATGAATGCAAAATTAGTAAATATATCGAAATGTATTCGGCAATTCCCAGCTACTATTTGTATGATGATAAAAGTTATTTACTTACCAATAATAAAAGCATTCATTTTACTGATATAAACAACACTAGTTTAGAGAATGAATGCGAGCGCCAGTGTTTGCAACGAGTTGAGTGCGTACAACACTATTATTCAATAAATACCATGTTGGTGAATTATTATTTAATCAATGACCGCAATTTTCGCATAATGTTTGAGATACCGTCGGAGCCCGAAGTCATATACACTATTAGCCTGAAAATGTCTATCGAAGAGTACCTGTGCTTTTTGGGCAGTCTTTTGGGCCTATGGTTTGGATACTCTGTACTACTGTTGACCAATACTTTGCGAGACTTGTGTAAAAAGTACAATATTTTAAATTTTTATAAAACAAATAATAATATTAACGTAATTAATATTGCACATCAATCTGCTATTATATCTGTGAGATCTAGATCTTGTAATTGATTTACTTATAAGTTATAACTTTTTTTAACCACAATTCATATATGAATAATGTGGTTTATAGGATCGTTCTGCCCCAACATTTTCATCGATAAAAGTGGTCACTGCAAACAAACCCAAGGTTTTCTAATTACATATCTAATTATATAAGGTATACACTTGCCATCTAGCAGTGTACTTTCAGTTTATGACAGTAAATTATAGTAGCCGATTTAAAAAAATTTAATTATTATCAATTTAGCATTAAAACTATTAAGAAAATATATCCGTAGTAACATAGAAAATGATAATAAAAACAGACAATATTGCATCAAATACAATGAAAATATTGAAAAAATAATATTCATTTAATACTTTTAAAATAAAAGAAAACTAAAATTGCAATTTCTAAAACAGTTATTTATGTACACTTTCTATTCTTTTTGTATTATTTGTATTATTTGTATAAATTGTTATATAAATATTGAAAAATGTGGATATTTAAATTTTTTGTGTAATATCCAACTGTTGAATAGAATGTCAGAATTTTGGTGTTCATTAAATAGAGTGAAATTGTATTTTGATACAGACAAATCTATTAACTGGCCCGTGGGTTAAGTGTTAATAAAAGTGTTTATTTAAGTAATAAATTATTACTAATAATAATTGTTTAAACAGGAATTTTTGAAAACCATATTTATAATTTGAGTGAACACTTAATCGAAAATAGATAGTTTGATTAGCTTTATGTTGTAGAGTCTACAATGTAGACATACATCAGTCATATAATGACGGATTTTATCAAAACTGATCACATATTAATTTTACTATCATTTCTAAATAGTAAACGAATTTAATAAATTAAATTACTTATAACTAAAATTTTAAGTCCAGATAATAGTTACAGAAAATTAAAAAACCAATAGTATCTAATATATAACATACACTGAGTTCCAAAGGTATTGAGGCAGTAGAATTCCATAGGATTCCATTAGAAGTGAATCAAAAGTATTTACGCAAAAGTGAAATTCATAGCAAATTAACAAAATTAAGGGGAAATTCTTTTGTAGTTGCAAGTAAATGATTGCAATGATTAATAAAAATTACTTTGTAATAAAGTTTAATTGTATTTTTGACCAATTATTAGAATAATTTTTACATTTTTTAGCATTAGGTCTATGGGAGAGGTTGGTCATTGTTTGGTCTCAAAAAACTTAACTCCTAGAAAACTAAGTATTATTATAACATCATTTTATAGTACACACCGAATGTATTAATTTGATATGCTATACATCTCATTTGACTTTTAGACATAGCAGCAATTAAGCAACAAAAATAGCCAAAAATATCAAATTTTAAAATACAAAAAAATATTAAAGCTTACAGCAAGACCGTATAACATAAATTTGAAACCCGTTTTAAAATGAGTTTCAAAAACGTATCATTTATACCCGTAACTCTTATAGAGGTCGTGTGAAATCAATTTACTTTTTTTGACCACTTTTGATTTTGCGTAATTATGGTCAAGTCTAATAGTCAAATGGGTCGTGTAGCATATCAAATGAATTCTATCATCGAGTACTACAAAATGGCGTTTTAATAATACTGACTTTGCTACAGATAAAAAAGTTTTTTTCGGGACGTTTTCTAAAACAACTAAAAATTTATTTACTGATCATTATTTTAAAAAATACTTTAATGTGATTAATAACTGGATAATTAAAT